AGTGTAAAAACTGTTTTCACACATTGCATGTGAAGTAATGTAAAGTCTTTTCACACTTTGTATATGAAGTAATGTTTAAATTTCCACTCTACTTTCTCGTGTGAGAGAGAGTTCTAATTGGTTTTATGTTAACGTTTCTTTTTGGCACTTTGATATCGTATCTGTAATTTTAATAAATCAATTTTATCATGTATTAGTTTCACAGAACATTGATTAAATCTAGTTATACTGTGACACATTGTTAAGCACACTACTATGTTAGATGAATTTAGTTTAATCTTTTTTTTTAAGTATATTATTATGACCTAAAAATATATATTTGAAAATGTTTTGTTCTCAAAAAAAAACTTTCAAGTTTTTCCCTCGTAGTGATGTGTTGACATATCTGTGTAGCTTTTAACTGATTATGTTTGGAGAGAGAGTTGTTTTTGTGATATTGTTAAAAGTTGAACTTCAAATTATGTTTGTCGTAGTAGATAAATTGATTTTTGGAATGTTATTTGATGTTTGAAAAAAAAACTTAAACTTTGTTAGTTAAGTTTCAACATGCGAATGAACAGTTAAAAAAAATAATTGGAAAGTTGAGAAAAATGTATCATCCAACTTCATCTTCGAAGAGATAAAATTAATCAAATGTTACAATTTTTGTCTTTCATGAAAGTAATTAATTTTGTCTATAAAATAATTGTATGAATGCAGTCGTTTTCAAAATCTATTGAACTTTTTGTTTTTATATTCCAACAAGAAGTGAATTTTTTTGTATATTTTTGGATATTGGTATTTCGTGAAATACATGTAATTCATAATTTTGAAGTATATGTTATTATCCACTTCAATGAAAAGTAATTGTTTATATACTATTGTAGAGTATTCAGTAGACTTGGCTTAATAATAAGATATATATATATCTACAACAGTATTATTTCAAGTATTGATGTATCTTTACTGAAATGTACAAGTTCTATGGTGTTGTAGAGTTAGCTTATCAATAGTATTCATTTTTACAATTCAAATGTAGTTTTATGTTTAGAGCATAACGTCAAAATAAAATGTGTATTTGGATGTCATATACTTGTCGTTTTTCTTCACTCATTATTTGTTTGTGTGGTGTTTTGATGATGATATTTCTGATTAAAATTAAATATCCCTGAGTTTTATCTCTACATGTTTAATTGAGATAGTTGTCCTTCTAAGATATTTGACTGGTCAAAGTTAAGTAATGAATGTGAAAATGCTACACCAACCAAAAGGAAAGTGGGATTTTGTTTATTTTGGATTGAAAATTACCTAATTCACCACAATTTAATCTGAAAAACATACCAAGAAGTTAAACCAGCAGTAGGCTATTCAACTCCACAGATAAAGAGACCAATCCATCGAAATGAAACTTTTCACATACTTTTCAAACAAAAATAATTAAAATACAACCCGTCTCTATTATCATAGTGTCAAAAAATAACAATGTGGGTTCAAGAAGTCTTAATAAAAACTATAACTTTAGCACTTTCGAAAGGTGGACCTTTCTTTTTTCAGGGGCAAACTGAAGAAGATAGGTGGACTTTTCAAAAGTGCTTGGGTAATAGGGTATTTATCGTTTTATACCCATCTGTACATGTATTATTTTATTTACTAAACTGTCAAAATTCTTACGCTCAAACGTGATATTACAAAAAATATATAACAACACCTGCTTATCTAGTTTTCAATCGCTCGTTTGAAGACGTCTTAACAATTCTTGTCCGGCGTTCCTTTCGTAAAACATGCAAGTCCTTTTCAGCTTTCTCTAATGAGATACAATATGAAGGGTTATTGATATACTTTGGAATTGACAAATGACTCAAAAAGTAATTAAGAATTATTCATTTGACTAAGGCAACCTATGCCAAAGCAAAAGTAATATATTAAATAAGAAATCGGCTACTCAAAGAGGGCGCTTCTTTGTGGCAACTTAATATTCCAGAGTAACATTTTGTTGTAAATATTGGCACATTTGTTAGTCAATACGTTCACCAGAAATCTCTATAGCCAGAGAATATTGAAAGATGATATCTATAGACAAAGTTTATCATCACTGTACCTTTGTTTGTTAAGGGAGAAGAAAGGAATGAAACATTAAATCTATAAATATCTCCTGTGGCCAAGAAAACATTTGTTTTTTAATATAAACGGTTAGAATGACGGTTTTTCTAGTGGTTGGCATTTTCTTTCAATATTTAATAATATTCAAGATGACGATTTCTTTTGTGGCTGCCATTTTGGTTTACTCATCTGATTTTGTGGCATATGAAACAGTCCGTATCCCCAATTTTCAATCTGCCCAGTAAAAATGCATCCAAATTAGGAAATTTACTTTCAGGAAAAGCAGGATAATTCATAAAATATTATCCAAAACCCAAGATCTTCCAGGGTCATAAGGCGATCCATGGAATTTGGCTCTAATAGATGCATCTGTGTCGCACATTACCTCTCTTTGCTCGGTCAAATAAACCTTGCCTCCTACACCTCTGTGACCTCACGTTGAGTAAAGTAATCAATTCATTAATAGTCATGCTTACAAAGAAGAAATGTGAACTGGTCAGTAACTTAAAGCTTCTATTTAACGTCCACTTAAGAACGTCTTTGAATTAATTTCAAATGTGAGAAAACTAAGCAACTCTCAGGCAATCGTGTTTCCAACCTGAACAGCACCTTACTAAAAGGCCAGGTCAGAGATTTCTATGGTTCAAGCATAACTATCTATAATTTAGTAAAGGGGTCAACCAGTTATGTAGCTAATCTTAACCAAATATGAGGATTTACTTGTAGTATTAATGCTGCTACAGCTGAAAGTTCAGAACATGTAATTTAATGGCTCTATTCTTGGGACTTCTAGTTTAGTCATTTCGGGACTTCCATTAAGTACGCAATATGTTGTAGTGTATGGAACATTAAATTTTTTAATGTCATTTGGTTATAGTTTTATACTTGTATAATAAACCTATATTTCAGAGTAAATATGTTGTGAGGGTGATAGTCAATCCCTTAGCATGGGTGGTGGGTGTTAGGGTGCTGCTGACTGATTGCATTCCACTAGTCATTAGTTCAAAATTAGGGTAGCACAGTTATAGTTGCTTGGTAATAAAAACAAATACCAAATTCATGATTGAAGAGATTCTTCCAACGCTGAGCGTACTGACGTTAAAACTAAACTTTCATTCATCTAGACTGCTTTTGTCAGTGATTGCAGAAGGGAGAATTCGTAAGACGCAAAGATTAAATATCTCGGTGCAGAGAAATTGGAGGCTTAGCGCTTCAGGCTATGTTTAAATCATTTACAAACTATCGCAAACAGTATTGTTACGTCTCCGTTTGTTAATTAACTTTCCGTAACTTCGTTCCGACGAAACTTTAGCGACACAAGGCCTTACTTTATAAAACTGGTTTATTCTTTCTGAATATAACTTTACGATACACTTGATTTCAACATTCGCACTAAAACAAACGCTATAACGAACTTCAACAATACTCTCTGACTGCAGATCAATTACTCACTACCTACACACACGTCGTTCCCGTCACGTTGTGACCATCTTATATATACCAGACTACCCTATATCTAGTAATCTCCCGACAATTCACGAAGGTACAAGATATTTCCAGAAAGCAGGGGGCGTGACACTAGTCACGTGACCTCGCTGACGCAACAGTATCATCATGCCTAATGGCCAAACTGTAATAATAAATTGTCCCACTACCCCAAAAACAAAAACAAAAAAACATAAAATTATTTTCTAAAAAACATTACAATATTTTTAGTAACATTTGTGAAAAAAATTAATTTGGGAAATATGACTTATAAATCTTTGATCGAAATCTAGCGACTTAGAGCTATCTCGTTGGCTAGGCCTATTTACCTGATTCAGAAGAATGTCTCGTTCATTATGCTTATTTACCTGATTCAGAAGACTGTCTTGTTGACTAGACCCATTTCCTTCAGAAGACTGTCTTGTTGGCTAGACCTACTTACCTGATTCAGAAGACTGTCTTGTTGGCTAGACCTACTTACCTGATTCAGAAGACTGTCTCGTTCACTAGACCCATTTCCTTCAGAAGACTGTCTTGTTGGCTAGACCTACTTACCTGATTCAGAAGACTGTCTCGTTCACTAGACCTATTTACTTGATTCAGACGACTGTCTCATTTAGCCAGACCTACTTATCTTATTCAAAAGACTGTCTTGTTGACTAGACGTACTACCTTATTCAGATGACTTTCTGGTTGGTTAGTAGACCCTTCTACCTGATTCAGAAGACTGTCTCGTTGGCTAGACCTACTTACTTTATTCAGAAGACTATCTCATTCACTAGAACTATTTACCTTATTCAGAAGACTGTCTCGTTCACTAGACTTTCTTACCTTATTTAGAAGGCTTTCTCTTTGGTTAGACTTACTTATCTTATTCAAAAGACTGTCTTGTTGGCTGGACGTACTTTAGGTGACTTTCTCGTTGGTTAGTAGACCCACCTACCTCATTTAGAAGACTGTTGTGATATGAACTAATCCTGATAAAAATAAAAACACTTTTTAATGTTTAATTTCTTAAAATTCAATCTGTAATCCCAATATCTTTATAGAATACCAAGTATTAACCTGTTCGCACAATTCGGCGAATTCAGACATGGCAAGACCAAGTAATTAGCTTGCCTTGACTGTGAATCCAAGGGTTCGTGGTTTGCAGCCCATTGCCATAAAATCATATTTCACATTTTGAAGCCGTAAGTGCGCTGTAAGAGTTGACTAGGTGTCTTCCCTGTAGTCTTTCACCCTATATATGAATGTGTGAATATCCCTTTGTGAAAAGTAGCGCGAAAATATTAAACAGATAAAAAGTTCTAGATTCTTCGGATAAAGTGAACTTCTAAGTTTTGACATTGATCAAAATCACATAACAATGATGTTATTTTATATCAGAAGCTTCACTCAGACATCTACTTTAATTAATATGATTTTACATATAAAGTATAGTGAATTACTTCTTTTTAACGTGTTGGAGTTTCTTGGTTGTGACAAGTATTAGTCAAATATACAATGATTTCTGTAAGACAGAAACTAACGACACTTTTTCTACAAACATCGTTTCAAACTCATGGTTCTTACTTGACAGCACAGCTGACGAATTTTTATACTGAAGAAAATAGTTCTTCGGTAGCGGCTCGTGGCATACAAGATATACATTTGAAATGCTGTTTTATAAATCTAATCCCATGACGCAATTGAAAAACGTTTCACCAAACTTATAATATTGCTGCGTCAGCGAGGTCACGTGACTAGTGTCACGCCACGTTTCTAGAACTATCCCGTTCCTTCGGGAGTGCTCTGGCATTTACTAGATTGGGGGGTAGTCTGGTATATATAAGATGGTCACGGCGTGACGTGACAAGTGTGTGTAGGTAGTGAGTAATTGAACTGCAGTCAGGAAGTATTGTTGAAGTTAACGTTCGTTGTTAAAACGTTTGTAAAAGAGCGACTGTTGAAAATAAGTGTATCGGTAAAGTTATATTCAGAAAGAATAAACCAGTTTTATTTAAGAAAGGACTTGTGTCGCTAAAGTTTCGTCGGAACGAATTTACGGAAAATCAATTAACAAACGGAGACGTAACAATATACAGACAAGAGTTTAGCCTATCGTTGTAAGTAAATTCAAATAAAAAAAGTTTTTATTTCATGTTTCTGCTATTTTTTTAATAAATGGCATTCTCTATGAAGGCAGAGGTTTTAGCCTGGCACGATGAGTTGTTTTGATGGACATCATATTTTGAAGTTAGTGAAACGCTATACTGCTTCTGCACTCACCAAGTTAAAATTCAACATTTTGGTGTGTAAATCATCGCAAAAATTTCAAGCATTGGTGAGCTAGCTCTTCTGACCTCAGAATCAGAATACTGAGCAGAACATTTGGATATTACGCTACTCTCCGGTTCTCTACTTTAGCAATGTTTTTTAGATGAACTGAAGGTCTTGATGGCTTTTGAAAACCTCGAAAACCTAAGTTAGTTGTTTATAAAAGTCTCTTACATTGTTATAAGAGAGATTTGAGACTATGATGAGCAATACATAATATGCGACGACCATTTTTTTCCCGACCTATCCCTACATAGCATTACCGTGCTTAGTGATAATTAAGTTGGTTTTGTTTTAGAAACGTTATAGGAGGAAATAAGCTTATTGTTTATAGCTTAAATAGACTGGACTTTGAATTATTTTCACTGGATAATTTAAAAACAAGTCACCGAATGATGATGTCACAACAACTTAAATCCTTCCTAAAACTATTAGTAGTGCTGTTTATCAAGTTTTATATTTCAAGTTAATTTTCCAACCAATCCCTAAATAGTTAATTTAATAGGTAAATACACAATACAGTGTAAAGTATTTAAATTTCGTATTGTTCCATTAGTGTGGATTTAAACCCTAAATAGTTGTTGTTTTGTTAGTACTAAACTACATAATGAGATATCTGCGCTCTGTCTAGTGCGAGAAATCGTATTCCAGATTTTAACGTTGTAAACCCGTAAACTTACCGTTGACTCACTGTGATACATCTAAATAAATTGCAATGTATGAAAAACACTATTAGCCAAATTGATATACCTATAATTTTCAGAATCTTCCCTCAACTATATTTGTTGTCAAGAGGTGTATATGAAATATTCTATAAATTGAGAATTTCACCACTGTTATTTGCTCTTATCAGTATTTACTTGTATACTGATATTAAGATGTTGAATATTTTATTTATATTTAAAAGATTAAAAACTAAAAAAAAATATTATATATTTAAATTATATGAATAATCAAATGATAGTGTTTCAGTGATAGATGACACTAATATCGCTAGTTTGAAATGGCTTCTTCTATGTCAGTTGTTATTTTATGTCCAAATGGTAGGCGACAAACTGTCAAAGTGTCGCCCAACACAAGTTTATTGCAGGTATTGTAAGTCTATACAAATATTATTATTGTTCTATTGTGTAATACTTTATGTCAAGAAGGTAATATAACACATCTAAATATAAAAAGTCATTGAGTTGTGATGTCGTAACGACAAACGTAAACACACTTGAGTGAATTGGCTTAGAGCAATACAGGGCAGGCTTGTATAAAGAGTAATATTTTTTAATTTATATACTTACTGGTACTTTCTACGTTTAATTATCTTTTAGTTTTAAGGTTATAAGAAAAAGAGATAATATTTTTGTTAATACAATATTTTCTTTTGCAAGTTTTGGTTTTCTGGTATTACAATACGCGAAAATTCATATTATAAGTTACCTCACCTGTACTTCTCAGTCTAATGAATCTCTTGAAATTTACCCTAATTCTACTTTTTATTCTTGTATAAGAATATACTATGCAATGTTATGGAATCACTATCAGTAAACTATATGTAATAATATCAAGGTTCAATGTTTTATACATGAGATACATTCATTTGAAGCTACAATTACTTTTAAAGAAACAGTACCTGAAATTGAAAATATTTATATGTAAGTGTTATTATATTTGTAGGGTAAGGAATGGTGAAAATGACCATTATCTAAGCATGTAATAAATGCTTTAATATACAAAGGAGTGATACTTTTGTGTGACAATACTTTACATTACTTCACATGCAATGTGTGAATGTGTGACAATACTTTACATTACTTCACATGCAATGTGTGAAAATACTTTACATTACTTCACATGCAATGTGTGAAAATACTTTACATTACTTCACATGCAATGTGTGAAAAGACTTTCACAATGAAGTGGATTGAAACTTT